GTGTGGAGAAACGAGCAAAGAAACAAATTTGGAAAAACGAAGCAAAATGAAGCTTTAAATTAATATTTGGTGATGACTGATTGTTGCTTCATTCTAGGGTTCACTTCTAGTCATCCATCAACTTCCGCCGACAACACCCGAGGCTGTTCAATGCTAACGAAGTCACTGATTTCTTCAATTTAAAGCCCTCTGATGAGACAGACGTATATTTTTTGACAATCAACGAAAAAAAAAAAAATTTGCTCAAAATTTAACAGGAAGCAAACAAAGATTTCGAAAATGACAAAGATCCAGCAATTCAGTTTAAGGAACACTAAATAGATCAAAACTTACAATTTGAATGATGTAATAAAATTTTTTTCTTGCTTGTAAAACCAATCCAATACACAAATTTGAAATCCCACAGCGCTGCTAAATTTTAATAATAAATTCAAAGAAAAAAACTGCTAAACAAATAAAGGTATTTTTTTTTATAGAAAGCTATTTGCGAGAAATAAAAAAGAAGGAGAATTATCAAAAAAGTTGCTAAGTTCAGTGTCATCAAAATTTAACAGAAAATGATAGAAGGTTCTGACCCGTTAAAAAACACTGTTGTACTGTGTACTTATTTTTTCTTCGAACCGAAAAGTCGATTTTTTTCCTCATGTGTTTCTTCAAAAAATCGGTTACTGTTTTTAGAAAAGTTTAACAAACAGCAAAAAACTAGTGCGAAAAAAATTGTTGGAAAATTGACTTTACCTAAACTTTAATTTTTAAAGATCAAAGAGAATAGCTTTTCTCATAATATCACTGTAAGAGGTTTCTTTCGTGAATGTATTTTTTCATCTCAGTGATAGGCCTATAGAGCTCAAGTTTTTTTTTTCTTTTTTTTTTTTTGGGAGAGGGCTACCAAAAACGGTTTTTAAAATGCCGTTGGTTCTCCAAAAAAATGACAGGTTCCTAAATGTAATAAATTTTTTCTCAGGATAGACTTTAGCAGTTTTTGTAACTTTTCAAGTTTATTCATTTGTACATAAAAAACTTCTGGATGGAGAATTTGCAAAAAAAAATTGACTCAAAATTTTTGAGCAAGAATTTGTGCAACATTAAATTTGAACAACCATCATATCGGTTGTTGATTACTCTATGAATAAGTTGTCTTAGCAAAACTGATGGTATAAAGAAACAAAATGTCAACTCCAAAATTTTATCTATCTAAAATCAAAAATTCTGAGACCGCAAAGGACGTTTATTATTAGCCGTCAGATGTTGTAACATTCTCTACGATTCATAAAAATATTTTCACTGTTGCTTACTGTGCCATAAAAACGTATTAACAATACAAAACAGTCTTAAATTCATTTTTCTCATGCAGTCTAAAATAAAAATAAAACAAATAATAGCTAAAAAAATCTTGTAGCAAATAGAAATTTATTTGGGGATAAGCTTAGACCACTTAGAACAGTCTAGCACCAACCAGTGTGAAAAATTTAAACTGCCGCCTTGTAGTATTTTGGATACTTGCCAGCAGTTTTGAACGATTGCATTGGAACTGTCGTCTGAGTTTTAATTCTCAATTTTTTAACAAAAGTTAGAGGAAAAATGACATGAATGGTTTATAAATAGATCTGAAATGCCCGCATAAATTTTTGCATCGTTTTGTTAGGATTTTGACTTATACTTTTAAACTTTATAAGTTTGCTGTGTACGATATTTGTAGGTTTGATGTGTTTTCATAATTCGTTCCTCATGCTTTGTACTTTGCGAAGAAATTTTTGTGGTAGACTACTGTCTTAGGAAAATTTTTATTTTTAACTTTTTATTGCAATTAATAATCTTCCTTTTTTTTTCTGGACTTTAAATGGGTGTTTAAACTGTTGTTCTTTTGATTATCGCAAAAAACTTTGTAAAGTTGTCTATTTAATGACTTTTTCTTTCAGGTATTTTTCTTCGAATATTACTGTTTTTCAAGATGATCACTCATGAAGTTCAGCGTGTATTTCTTGCATTACTGCGAAAAAATGCGAAAAACTCGCCATTCCTTTCGACCGGTTGCTGCAGCGTTCTAGGCTGCCGTTTTGCTAGAATGTTGCATGCGAAAATAGAGGATAAAACTTCCGAAATTCCTCAAAGTGTTGAATCCCCTTCCTCTTCAGTTACCGAATCAGAACAGCACAAATCCGTATCAGTAAATACTTTATGATTAAATATTTCTTAAGGGTTCTTAAATAGCTGTGGCAGGCACATTCTTTTACGGCCAAAGTAAAGTTAGATGGGAAGTCAGCAGATTTTACGTTATGGCTTATTTCTTTGAAAACCGGCAGTTGTATTTGGACACTAACCATTTTTAAACTCGAAGTAGAGAGAAGCATGAGTATTGCGAAACCTTCGAATACCACTTGAAATCATTGCTTTCTAAAGTATAACTCTAGGATTTCGATACTTTCGCTCGTCTCTTCCGATATTCGAAATTTGTCCAGCTTGGTGATTTCAAAGGGAGAATTGTAATTGGCACAATAGTGCAGCGTACAGAAGGCCATCTTTATATTGATTTCGGCTTAAAATTTAACACTGTTTGTAGAGTACCTCCTGCAAATAATATGTGAGGTTTTACTTCATCAATTCTAGATAAATCTATTATCAAAATTATGTTATGTTTAGTTATTTATTAAACTTTCTGTTTGTTCTTTTCAGTTCTTAATTGTTGTGTGAAACACGTTTAATTTCTTGTTGGGGCAAAGTTGGTTGTTGGTAAGCTGAATAACGTGTTTTAAGGAGATATACAATCGGTAAAAAAGTTGTCTTACGTTTACATGATCCAGAGCTTTCTGAAAGGTTTTTGGGAGCAAAGAAAGATTTAACGTTGCTTGAAGCGGATGCTACACTTCTTGGACTGTATGAGGGAAAACAGGTTACTGGCATTTTCAAGTTGTCATATCTTTTTATCTCTTTCCAGCATCAGTGTGTCTTAAAATGCAAACAATTATAGTAATCTTCGTTTCTCGTAGTGGAAAAGTGTTACCTTAATGTTACAGATTTGTTTTCTGTACGATTGTAGGCATAAATTTTCACCAGTATTTGGTATTAAATGTAAATGTTTTCTCAAAGACGAGGACATTTCTTGTTGAAGTGTCTGCAGAGTTTCTTTTTGATTAAGACTTTAGAGGATCGGATAGCTAGCTGTTCGGGGTAACTTTATCGGATGCTGGGTTTGGGCTTTAGGTGACAACCGGAATGTTGCTTTGAAATTATGTAATACTTTTGGGGAAGTTCTCGCAATTTATAGATTTAAGAAGGAAATATTAAACTTTTTTTAATTAACTGGATTACTTTCAACAGTTTAGAGCATTTGAAACCGAGAAACTGATTCAATTTGTTTAGACACGTAGTGCTATACAGTCTCAATTTCTTGAATATTTTTTAGAATTTGGGAACACTGATCACGTATCTGTTATTATCAAAATTTTTATGATATTATTTTGTTCATGGTTTTGTGAGAGTTTAATATGTTTAATCTTAGAAATTTCAAACAATGGGAGTTGGGTGCTGTACAGTTCGTATATTTTTTTTTTGCTTTCAAAACCTATTTATTCGTTGTTCATTGATTACAATTTTTTCAGATGCATCAAGTTTAAAATGAGCGTCGTCATTTTCCCCTCTCCGACGGGTTTGAAGAATCGTTTGTCATGGTTCTTCACCTATTTTATTTTCATTTTTAGGGTTCGTGATACCTCTTTACTGTATTCAAAGCTTTTAGTGAGTCATATGTTTTGTTTGGTTAGTTGCATAATTAGTTAGTAGCAGTACATTTGGAAGACTATTCTTGGTTTGTGCCTTGTACTCTTTTAAATGGTGCTTTTTTGTTATATTATTATTTGATTTGTTATTATACTCATTGACGTGTTTTCTTTGTTTCGCCGTAGTGTAAAAACATGTTTGTATTTTAACTTAGCTTTAAAATAACTTATATTTTTAATATAATTTCTATATGTTAATATAGTTAATAAATTGCATAAGCGACTAGATTTGAATCTAAATTTTTTTGTAAAAAACCTGTTTTGATCCACGTTTGTTTGTTCTTTACTGTATATACAAAATCTGGAGATGAAACGTTTTTGTCTCGTTAGAGAGGTTGTTGCAGAACGGCAAAACTGTGGAGAGTTGACGGTGTGAAAAAGTTCTTCTCGCTTTTACACTTTCACAATCATTGCAGAGAAGATTAAGTGTTGAAATACCCTCTAGCAGCTTTTTGTAAAGCTAATTTATGAAAGTTTTGGTTTTTTTGTTTCCAAATAAATTTTGTTGTTTATTATTTCAGTATGTTATTTGAAATTTCTACGTCCGTCAGCACTTATCTGAGTTAGCCTTGAAGTATAGCGCATTTTATCACGCATAAAAGGCTGAAGATTCTGCTTGGAATTGTAGGGTTTCTGGTTGAGTTCACTGGTAACACTTTTGCAGTTACTGAGTGCTGGTGAAGGTATTAAAGCTATTAGTTTTTTAAAAAGTCTGCCCGCCATAAAAGTTTGATTCTTTATCACATTCGTTTTTACCTTTTATTTTTGGTTATACTTTTTTGAATGCTAATAATTATGGCTATTTCAGTCTTGCTACCTGTAGGGTAGCAGAGTTTTCCCAACCACCTCTGATAGCGTATCTATTCAAGGCACAAAGACAGAAAAAGAACTGTTTTTTTTTAAGTTCGATTGATGAGATGAGTTCTTTTAAACTGTAACTTTATCTTTTGAAACGGTTGTAGAAACGAGTATCAATCGAGAAAAGCCTCATATGAAGCAAAATCTTTGAACATTAGTGAGAAAAGTAGCAACAGACTCTGCAGGTTTATTCTAGGGATTGATTTTAAAACATTCAGTCAAAAATTGTATTACGCCTTCTTTCTGTATAGAAGCCACAGTCAGAGGTAAGCTGCTTAATCAGCAACATTCTTTTAACATAATCCATCCAAAAATTTGGAAGAAAAATTTGATCATTCAGTAGAGGGTAAAAATAAAAGCAAAGAAGGATATTTTTGGAAAAATTATTAATTTTTTTTTCTGAAAATCTTATTGTCTTTATTGCTTGCTTCCTTGTGCTATAAAAATTACGATTCTTTTTTGTGTTATTGTAAATAGATATTCAAATAGAACTGTATATCAGAAATTATTTTCTGCTAAAGCTTCAAACAGGCAACTCTTTTGAGAAATTATTTTCCTTGTTTGTTCGTCTATATTCGATTTCCTTGTAGAGGTAGTTCCTCAAACCTCGAACCCATCTTTGCTACTGCCTTCTCATCCTTCTACAAATTTGAATCGTCGTAAAATATTTTGCTGTCACTGATATTGTCGTTGCCGTTTTCCTAAATTCAACCAATGTTACGTTGACATTGAAGAGAAGAAAATTTCTACATCATAACCCATTGACATTAAAAATATTTCTGTTTTGTATTTTACAACAGAAAAATTTTATTTTTTCAGTCGACAGGTACAGTCACCGTATGCAAACCTCACTACTTAAAAAAATGTTTTAGTTTCTTTTAAAATTCCTTATTTATTTGAAGTGTCTAAAATTTAGTTAACTAGTATTACTTGTCTTTCTGCTTTATTCATTTCGTTTACATCTTGTTCTACTTGCTTATCTATTTCTTCTTTTTCTCACTTCATTTCTGCATCCGCAAAAAGTTTCCATTCAAAGCATAATTCGTCACATTCGTTTTCACTAATTTTTTCGAACGGAGAACTATTCTGGAAATTTTTTCAGTGATAAGAGAAATCTATAAATGTTTGTATAGCTGAAAAAATAAATCAATGGTTATGAATTACATTGAAAAAATGGTGTAACAAGTCTTATACAGCAAAAGTCAG